GCAAAAGAGCATGCATTCATATAGATTAATAGGCACATACCTCACAATTGCAGCCATGCTAATCACTACGATTAGGGCTACTACTTGGTGGAATTCTAATATCCATCTTCAACATCTATCTGCCCTTTTAAGACATTTTGATGAATTAAGTGGAGATTTAATGGATACCATTATTCTTGCATTTTATAGTTCTTTACTAGATCATAATATTTGCTCCCCCAATATACACTCAAAATGTGATATTCTTATTCTGATTGAGAAGAGCATTTTATTATCTTTTTCCAAACACAGTTGCCCCCAGACACAGCTCTCGAGTATCCTTGTTCTTGCATTTATCATTTCCCTCATTTTTCTTAACACCTGATGTATTACATCCACTAGTACATTTTCTTTCATCAATATACCATTACAGTTCATTATAGGTGAAAATTTAAATAATTGCACTACTACTTTGTGCCAGGAGCTATCCATTGTCCAATAATTACCAGTGACAAGGCTCCCGTTGAGAGCTGGCTGTTGGGTAATCCTGTTTCACAGTCCAATACAGCAGGGAAATTGCTGTGGCCCTGCCTCTCCCCTGCCCCTCCCCTGCCCCATCAGCTCATCTACCTCAAGGAAAATGAGTGCATGACCTCAAGTATAAGCTCAAGTATCAGCTGAAGCATGGCCAACATAGGGAGATCCTGTTTCTACAAAAAATTCAAAAATAGCCAGACAGGATGGCTTGCGCCTGCAGTGCCAGCTACTAAGGAGGCTGAGGGGAGAGGATCCCTTGAGCCTGGAAGATCAAGGCTACAAAGTGCCCTGATTGCACCACTGCACTCCAGTCTGGGCAACACAGCAAGACTGTCTCACAAAACAAAAAAACTATCGGCTCAAATAGCCACATTGAAAAGGATGTCAAATTGCACTCACATATAGTGTTAAAATAAACCGTATTATTAAGACATTCTTTCCTAAATTCTATGTCATATTTCTCCTATGACCCAGAGCAAAGACTTCCTTCTAATTTTCTCTGTGAAATTAGGTTATATCTCTTCTACTCTCCACTGAGATATAAAAATTATCTGTTAAATATTTTAAAAAATGGTTTGAAATTATTTAAATAGTACCTACTAATGTAATAAAAATATTGATTCATTAAGAAATTGGGAAAATATGGGGGTTATCTGTATGAAAGCAAGTGTGTTAAAAACGTCTTCTTTCATAGTAGAAACACAACAAGTAATGTCTAAAATTAAAATAAATAAACAAATAAATAAATAAATGTGATTTAAATATGCTTTCAGACTATTGAGAAAAAAAGCCTGATACAGTATTTGAATATTGTTGCTGCAGAAGTGAAGTTGGATAAGAGATGAATGGTAGGAAGGAGAGTTCCAGGTTTTCATTGTAAGCCTTAAGTGTAATTTGTCTTTTGTTTGTTTGTTTGTTTTTAGACGGAGTCTCACTCTGTCGCCCAGGCTGGAGTGCAGTGGCACAATCTCAGCTCACTGCAAGCTCCGCCTCCCAGGTTCACGCCATTCTCCTGCCTCAGCCTTCTGAGAAGCTGGGACTACAGGTGCCTGCTACTATGCTGGGTTAATTTTTTGTATTTTTAGTAGAGACCGTGTTTCACCGCGTTAGCCAGGATGGTCTCGATCTCCTGACCTCGTGATCTGCCCGCCTCGGCCTCCCAAAGTGCTGGGATCACAGGCCTGAGCCACCGGGCCCTGCCAATTTGTCTTTTTAAATGATGTACACATATTACCTTAATATGAGTAAAAACAAAACTAAACTTAGTAGAATTCCATAAATATAAGATTAACAGGTCCTTATAATTTAAGACATTTTACAAAGAAGCTTTAAACATCAATAAAGGATACCAGCAATTGAAGCATCTAGGTTAAATATTTATATATCAAAAGTACATTCATATAATGTTTAAGCCAATTTAAGGCATATATTTTTATTACTATGACACCAATAGAAAGCAAGAAAAACTACATAACTAAAGTGCAAATGTGAGGATTCTCTTTTCAATCAGTGTCCAGTTGTTTGATTATTTGGAGATGTGCTAATTAATTTTGCTTTGGAATCTAAGGACAAATGTTAACATATAAATTTAATTAAATGATGATATGATTTGGCTCTGTGTCCCCACCCAAATCTCATCTCTTAATTGTAATCCCCACATGTTGAAGGAGGGACCTGGTGGGAGGTGATTGGATCATGGGGACGGCTTCCTCCTTGGTACTCTTGTGTTAGTGAGTGAGTTCTGTGAACCCAGAAAATCTGAGACAGGTCTCAGTTAATTTAGGAAGTTTATTTTGTCAAGGTTGAGGACATGTCCATGTGATGACATGTGCCCAAGGTGGTCGGGGCACAGCTTGGTTTTACACATTTTAGGGAGACATGAGGCATCAATCAACATGTAAGAAGTACATTGGTTCAGTTTGGAAAGGCGGGATATCTTGAAGCACGGACAGGAAGACTAGATTGGAAAAGGGAGCTTTCAGGTCACAGATAGGTGAGACACAAGCAGTTGCATTCTTTTGAACTTTCGATTAGCCTTTCCAAAGAAGGCAATCCAATATGCATCCATTTTAGTGAGCAGAGGGATAAATTTGAATAAAATGGGAGGCAGGTTTGCCATAAGCAGTTTACAGCTTGAGTTTTCCTTAGTGATTTTGGGGGCCCAAGATATTTTCCTTTCACAGTTCTCACAAGATCTGATGGCTTAAAAGTGTTTGGAAGTTCCCCTCCCTTGTGCTCTCTCTCTTGCTGCCTTGTGAAGAAAGTGCTTGCTTCTCCTTCACCTTCTGCCATTATTGTAAGTTTCCTGAGGCCCTCCCAGTCAAGCAAAACCATGGGTCAGTTGCAACTCTTTTCTTGATAAATTACCCAGTTTCAGGTAGTTCTCTATAGCAGTGTGAAAATGGGCTAATACAGAAAATTTGGTACTGGGAGTGGGGCACTGCTATAAAGATAACCTGAAAATGTGGAATGAACTTTAGAACTGGGTAACAGGCAGAGGTTGGAACAGTTTGGAGGGCTCAGAAGAAGACAGGAAGATGTGGGAAAGTTTGGCACTTCCAAAAGACTTGTTGAATGGTTTTGACCAAAATGCTGATAGTGATATGAACAGTGAAGTCCAGGATGAGGTGGTGTCAGACGGAAATGAGGAGCTTGTTGGGAACTGGGGCAAAGTTCTTGCTATGCTTTAGCAAAGAGACTGGTAGCATTTTGCCCCTGCCTAAGAGATCTGTGGAACTTTGAACTTGAGACAGATGATTGAGGGTATCTGACAGAAGAAATTTCTAGGCAGGAAAGTGTTCAAGATGTGACGTGTTTTTTTTCTGAATGCATACAGTGATATGCATTCACAAAGAGATTATCTGAAACTGAAACTTTTGTTTAAAAGTGAAACAGAGCATAAAAGCTTGGAAAATATGCAGGCTGGCCATGCGGTAGAAAAAAAAAAAAAAAATTTCCCTGGGAGAAATTCAAGTGATTGACTGCAGAAATTAGCATCAATAAAGAGAAGTTGAATGTTACTAGCCAAGACTATGGGGAAAATATCTCCAGGGCATATCAGAGATCTTCACAGGAGCACCTCCCATCACAGGACTGGAGGCCTAGGAGGGAAAAAAAAAATGGTTCCTTGGGTCAGGCCGAGGGTCCTACTACTCTGTTCAGGCTTGGGACATGGTGCCCTGTGTTCCATCCACTCCAGCTCTAGCCATGGCTAAAAGGTACAGCTCACAGCTCAAGCCATTGCTTCAGGGGGTGCAAGCCTCAAGCCTTAGTGGTTTCCATGTAGTGTTGGGCCTGTGGGTGCACAGAAGACAACAGCTGAGCTTGGGAGCCTCTGCCTAGATTTCAGAGGATATCTGGAAATGCCTGAATGTCCAGGCAGAAATCTGCTGCAGGAGCAGAGCACACATGTAGAACTTCTACTAAGGCAATGCAGAGAAGAAATGTTGGGTAGGAGCCACCACACAGAGTTCCCACTGGGGCCCTGCCTGGTGGGACTGCGAGAAGAGGTCCACTATCCTCCAGACCCCAGTACAATAGTTCCACTGACAGTTTGTACTGTGCACCTGGAAAAGTCACAAACACTCAGAGCCAGTCCATGAAAGCAGCTGTGTGGGGACTCTACCCTGCAGAGTCACAGGAGTAGAGCTGCCCAAGGCCTTGGGGGCCCACATCTTGCATCAGTGTGCCCTGGTCATGAGACATGGAGTTAAAGGAGATTATTTTGGAGCTACAAGATTTAATGAGTATCCTGCCTGGTTTTCAACTTGCATGGGGCCTGTGGCCCCTTTGTTATGGCCAATTTCTCTTATCTGGAATGAGAACGTTTACCCAATGACTATATCCCCATTGTATCTTGGAAGTAACTAAGTTGTTTTTGCTTTTACACTCTCATAAGTGAAAGGACCTTGCCTTGTCTCCTATAAAACTTTGGACTTGGACCTTTGAGTTAATGCTGGAATGAGTTAAAGATTTGGGGTAATTGTTGTGAAGGCGTGATTGGTTTTGAAATGTAAGAAGGACATGAGATTTGGGAGAGGGCAGGTGCAGAATGATATGGTTTGGCTCTATGTCCCCACCCAAATCTCAAGTCAAATTGTAATCCCCATGTGTCTAGGGAGGGACCTGGTGGGAGGTGATTGGATCATGGGGGCAATTTTCCACATGCTGTTCTTGTGATAGTGAGTTCTCACAAGAGCTGACGGTTTAAAAGTGTTTGGCAGTTCCCCTCTCGCTTTCTCTCTCTCCTGCTGCCTGTGAAGAAGGTGCTTGCTTCTCCTTTCACCATGATTATAAGTTTCCTGAAGCCTCCCTAGCCATGCAAAACTATGAGTCCATTAAGCCTCCTTTCTTTACAAATTACCCAGTCTCAGATAGTTCTTTATAGTAGTGTGAAAACAGACTAATACAAATGACTATATAAAATATATTATCAGTGTCTGTAAAAATATGAAATCATTTTTGAACACTAATGAAGAACCTGGTTTCAGTGATTTTTTTTTCCTCAGTTTTTATTTAGAAAGTTTAGTGAAACAAATGTAGCGTCACAGTTTAGGAATACTTTAATCTCACTATAATTTAACATTGTAAAAAATCTACTAATTTTTGATTTCCAACAATAAAATTTATAAAAATAATTTTACATTTATAAAATGAATTATTTCACAATAAATTATTCATTTCTATTACCTGAAAAAAGTTGAATACTATATAAAAGTGATAACTTCCCTTATCAATATTTTGAAAATATGCTGAAAACATCAGTTCCTTTTTTCCAGCATCTTTGGCAGTTCAGTATATAAAAATATAATATTATAAATCCCCCTGACCATAGTTACTGAAGCAGAATCATTGCTAATAATTTCAAAGACATAGCTGTTTAGTAAATATACACGAATAAATTACAGGGTTCACTAAAAATGAATGTTATCGTTCATACTTTAAAGGTATTTGCTATGTTCTGAATTTTTGTGCTTTCCAAAATTCACATGATGACACCTAGTCCCCAGAGGGATGGTATTAGGAGGTGGGGCCTTTGGAGGATGATTCAGTCATGAGAATTAGTACCTTTATTAAAGAGACCCGAGAGAGCTACCTTGTTCCTTTTATGTGTAAAGACACAGCTAGAAAATGCCATGTATGATCCAGAGACCTAATTTGTTGATTCCTTAATCTTGGACTTCCCACCATTGAGAACAGTGAGAAATGAATTTCTGTTATTTATAAGCTGCCAAGTTCACAGTATTTTGTTACAGTAGCCTGCACAGACCAAGGCAGTATTTTGTTTTAATATCTTCTAAGGGAACATCCCCCCCAAAGTAAACAAAAATCTACAAAAGTTATTTGTATGATAAAAATCAAAAAATTCTTATTCACGAAATAGAAACTACAGTAAATTTTCAAAAACTAAGAGTTAAAAAACTCCCCCATATGATATATTTTACAGTTTCACAAGGGTACCAGGTCTTGAAGGAATTTTATTAAATCTATTAAATCATAGATAGCTTTTAATAATCATGTTTCTACTTCAAGAGTTCAATTTTACTTTAAGAGCTAATAAGTTACTTAATATTACTATAACCTTTTTACTTACAGGATAAGTGGGATATATGACATCATAATCTTAGACATTTAAAAAATCCTGAGAAAGATTATCTAATTCAATCTTTTACAGCTTGGGATCCTCTTTTTCAAAAAATATTATTGATAATTACTGAACCAGTTTTTCCAATTTTCCCTCTCCTCAACCAGAGACGAGCCACTGCCTCATGAGGTGGCCCATGCTTAATTTGTTTTAAAATAAATTCCAGCTTTAAATGATATCAGAGAGTTTAAGGCTCCAATGAACTGTACTCCTCAGTCTAGAATTTGACATTTGGTATATCCCTGGGCTGCTACATTTTAAAGAATCTGCTAAACCAGTCATTTTGCTTTGTTTTTGTTTTCATCAAAATCTATGTGGTGAATCTTTTATTTTCTCTAATGTTTTTAAGGAAAAGTCTTGTTAAAACTACAAAAGTGGTTTCTTATTCTAGGCGCAACAATTTTACACTCACCGCTTATCAGTAAATATATATTATAGGCAATATGATGAATAGTATCCAATCATCATTCAACTGCATATATTTAAAAACCACACTATGAGTAAGAAGTTCACATTTTTCATTCCACACCAAAGATTCATTAAGTCAACTAGACCTGGGTTTGAATGTGGTTCTCTCACTCGTTAATGTTGGTGAACTTTTGTTATGTTCCTTAAACCCTCAAGCTAAACTTTCCCTTATTTATAAAAGAGAGAAAATGATATCTCTCCTACAGTGTTATTGTGAGGACTAAATAAGGAACATGGGTGGTAGATGGCTAACGTGTCCTCAGAATCAGCTCTCTCAGAGTGGCATGGCTTTGGCTGACACAGACTTTCCACCTATAGATAACTCTCCTGGCCACCCTGGGAGCCAGCTGTGGGCATGTGCTAATTTCTAGTCAATGGATAACTATTTCTAAATTGTTTCAGGAGAAAGAAATAGATGCCTCTCTTGGTTTAGTCACTGTTTTAGGGATTTCTTTGTTACAATTCACCCTCTATCCTAACTGATAAAACCAACATGCTTTTGCTTACCATACATCTTCAAATAAAGTCAGATTCAAAAAGTATCCAGTCGTCCTTGGAATGGTTCTTTGTATTTTTCTAAACTTAAGATAGGAATATTTAACTCTAAAGCAAAGAGTTGCTTCTTTGCCACAGAATGTCCATAAGAGATTCTTCTTGAAAAAGATACAGCCTATTCTACCACAACTGCTTTATTTTTCTAATCTGCAAGTTTATAATTTATTTTTAAAAATTTAGCTCATTTTATATTAAACTGGGATTTCTGATCCACTATTTTCAGTCAAAAATGAACACTTTGTTCTGTATCACATCACAATAAAGCAATTATTTACAAATTTAAATTAACATTAATAAAACAAATGAAACTCGTACATAAGATTCAATTGGTTCGGGCACAATGCAGGGGCAGTTGGAAAAAATACCCTATATAAACATCTTCAAACTCAGATAAACATTGGTTGCGTGTGAAAGTTTTACATAGTAGCAACAACAAACAGAATGAACGTATAAACAAGAAAATAGGACACCATATTATAACAGCACCATGAAGAAGCCTTGGCTAAGAGTTTGCCAAAAGTGCTATCCTGAGATATTTCAAGATCAACAACTTTTCACATTTATGTAGTGCCGTTCTGAAGTAAACACGTTTTCACAATTGCTTTTGTTTGGAGAGATGCTGGTGTGAAATGACTGATGCTTGGTTTGCAGCTATTTTGTACTGTTCTTGCCCAGAGCCTTGTGGTGGGGAAGGGAGTGGGGTTTCAGGAGTTGCTGAAAAAGAATCAGAGAATTGAGTGTGATGGTGGCAGTCAGCCTTCCCCACCCCATTAAACCCTACACAACACCAATACACATTAGCATGATCTAGCAATGTTTTAAAAAGATCCTATATAGAATAGTGATTTGTAGAATGTATTATTGGCCCATGACATACTGTTAGAGAGTACTCTTACCTTACCTCCCAAATAACATTAAATAGAAAGAGGTCATGTTAAAAAATTTTTTTCATAATCACTTTAAGGTGTTTCCTGCCTTTCTTAAAAGCATTTATAAGCATTTGATTCTCTAACAAACCTACCAGGAAAAAAGGCAATGAAAAGAATTAACAGAAGGATAGTTTTCTCAAATATTAGAAAGCAATGTTTATAATTTTTACCATCAAAATTCACATAAAATAAAAATATAATTCAGACATATTAAATGACATAAAAAATTAAGGTTAAGGTACTTTATAAATGTTCTGAAATCTAAGTTGTAGTCAAAAGCATCTGAAAACTACTGGCTTTTTTTGCTTCAAAATTATTCTATTACAATCGAGCTTGCCTGTCTCATCCCCTTTGATGCAAAGAGCAAGCCTGAGTAATTGAATAGAAAGTAATTGAATACAAAAAGATTGAATTGAATGTAAAAAGTTAGTTTCAAAACTTCATTGTTTAGAATAGTAGTTCTTTCCATTGTAAAATGTAACCATATTATAAAATAATCTAGGAGTTATTCTGTAATTTGTAGAAACTTGAAATATTTTAGTACTGACGCTTATTGTTACTGGATTATTCCATATAGTAAACAGAACTAACAGAAAATGTTTGATGATCAGACTGAGGTTTTGTAAACTTTATAGCTTATGTCTCAACAGTTTTAAAAAATTATCTACAAAACAAGGACAGCCTCCTTCTGCCTGGTGTTCATTGATATATTAGCTTTATATTATGGTTAAGTATGGATTAGCAATTACTCAGAGGCAAAATTTTTAAGTGCCATTTAAATGACAAACCAATATCAAAATCTGCTTTTAAAATTATTTCTGGCTATTTAGACTAGATCTAAGACTGCAGTAGCCTTCTCTAAAAGACTCAGAAAATATGCATGAACTTAACTTTTGGTTGTGTTTAATATCCTGCTTGCATAAAATATAAATTATTTCAAATGAGGATAGTAAAGCCAAGTTTTCTTTTACAAATAAATCCCACAAATACTATGTGGAAAGAACAAGAATAAAAATGAGTGTAACAATGTGATTTTTAAAAGACTAGGGTCAGCAAATATGTTTTTAAAATACTAGAATACTAGCCCTTAAAAAGTATTCAACCACCAGCAGAACTGTCCGACTCTCTTGCCAGTTGATTCCTACACTGCTTAATGTGTTGTTAATGTGTTTCATTTTGCGAGTTTATGAATAACTGATCTTTAAGAGACACAACTCCATAAACTCTCTAGTATGATATTAAGCTTGCCCCTCTCTTTCTGCTCTTGATTATCTATTAAATGAAAACAGTAAGATCTATTTTGCAAGGATGGTCCCAAATAATGTCTTTCAAGTACATTGGAAATACAAGATTATGCGATGGTTTTCTATAATTTATATTTTTCCTAACAATTTCATTTCTTTCTCTCTCTCATATACTCAAAGAATTTTGGTTTCAGATACTATTTACACAAAGATCTACCTATGCTTGTATCTAAAAGACGGCATGGTAACATGAAGTTCTGTGGCCTCTACGTTCCCTACCAGTGGCTAGAAGTCAGGTGGTACTTGGTAAATTGTTGCATTGCATACAACATTTGGGGGAAAAAATGTTGTAGCTAGCTATTAAAGACTATTGTAAATTCAGTAAGCAAGCACTTTGGGAGGCCGAGACGGGCAGATCACGAGGTCAGGAGATCGAGACCATCCTGGCGAACACGGTGAAACCCCGTCTCTACTAAAAAATACAAAAAACTAGCCGGGCGAGGTGGCGGGCGCCTGTAGTCCCAGCTACTCGGGAGGCTGAGGCAGGAGAATGGCGTAAACCCGGGAGGCAAAGCTTGCAGTGAGCTGAAATCCGGCCACTGCACTCCAGCCTGGGCGACAGAGCGAGGAGTATGCATAATAATTACATCACAATAACTCAAGTCATCTCAGTGAGTTAGTAGGTTTGGTGTTCAGAGGCAATAGATCGAAGGTAAATCTGGGATTAATTACATTAAATTCCGAAGCAATTAATCAGTTAATCTAGATATTTTATCAAATAATTAGAGATCTGTATCACCAGACTAGCCTAGAAAAATAAAATTATCATGAAGGTTATAATAATAGATTAACTTATCTACTAACAATCTCTATAGTATTTATATAGTCATCTGAGTTCCAAGGAGTTTTCATAAACCGCCCTCACTGCACAATTCTGATGTGAATGAATTCTAGTTACCGTGGCTTAAACAGCACCAGTCTGGCAACAACATGGTTCAAGTTTCAGTCACCATGGTAACTCACAATTAGTGAGTAATTTCATAAATACAGACTCCACTGCCAACTCTTCAGTCTGCAAACAACTATCTAAATAACGGATGCGCTTTATGATCAATGACTGATCATGTCACAATTTTTAGTCTGTCCATGACTGGTCACTGAGCATCTTCTATTCAGTTCAGGCATGGAAAACAAACTGCATACAGTGGCTGTGTCGCCTTCTTGTTTCCTAGTGGTAAATTCACTCACATTTTACAAAACTGAATAATTGAATTAGAATTGACCAACAACAGTGAAAGTGCAGAAAAGGAATAGAAGGTGATAATGCTGGAAGTGACATACAAATAGAACACAAATGCAATCACAGAAGAAGTAGCTGTCCATGGGAATGCTGCCGCTGCTGTTGTTTGAGTCTCTAAATATGCAGCCAAGAACTTAGCAAAGGAAAACTTATCCACATAAATGAGAAAGCTGGATGTGTCAAAAGGGGAGAAGGTGTCCCAAAAGAAGTGAACGCGGCCAAAAGAAATTTCACATTAAATGAATTCTCAGAAACATGCCAGGACATTGAGAATACAAGGGATTAAAATGTTGAAAGCTGATCCAAATTTCCCAACGAGTAAAACTCATCAGGGCGTAGAAAAGATCCTCACTTCCTAATGTAAGTTTTAGAAGGTGACAAGAACTGGTCAAACTGCGTTTCACAATTATTTTATAAAGAAATAAAACACTTCGATTGTCAATATTCCTAATGTTTTAATTACAGTGTACCAACTGAAATGTTTTATATTTAATTCTACAAAAAAAGTATAAAGATTACATTTCTTTAGTTTCCATAAACATTCAGAGAGTTCTTAATGTTTTCACAAACATTTTTGAAAGTCCCAAACAGGAAATAATTTTCCCATTGATTATTAAGATTCCCTTGCATGGTTTCAGCTTACATTGTCGTTTTTACGGCCTCACACTACCACGCAGAGCGAGGACTACTTGTATACTCTTTTGTGCTCCCCAGACCTATCAAGTAGAAAGATTTTTCTTACATTTTCATTTTAGGAAGCAAACTGACGTCTACGGAGAATAAGTGACAAGCTGAATAACAATCTTCTACTGCTGAGTCCCAGATGGGAAATTACACCAAGTTTTTGCCATTTCTGGTTACTAATAGATTCTTTCCCACAATTCCACTTTTTCTCAGGTAATTAAGAAATATCATGGTTGAAAAGTAGCCTATATACTTACAGATCTGGTCTGCATGAACCAGTGTTGACATAGGACCTAAAAGTATAGTTTGCCCGGTTAATGGATCTTGAGACAAATGTGGATGCATTGGATGATGGAGATGACTACCGTCATTGGAAGCCCCTACAAAAGATAAAAAGATGCTGTGTTAGTGATATTTAATCAGGAACAGCAAGTTTACCTTGAAACAAATGTTTTGATTGACAGCTTAAATATTGCTATTTTTGCCAAGTGCTTTTTGGGAATTCAAAAACAAATTGACAGAACCACTGGCATATTAAGAACAATGTCAGCTTTCACTGTACATTGGCTAGATTAATGTTGCGTCATATTATGCTGTATATTAAAAATGGACTTTGTGTGCCATTTCCTGGAATCATTAGGTTCGCTGCCTGTTGTTAAGGCAATTCCAAGAATCACTTACCTCAAGTTTATAGTATTTGGGATCACCGTAATAGCATGAACAACTTTCATTTCAGAAAGATATCATTAGGAACAAATTATGCACCAGAAAACTAAAAACAAATATGATGATTTTACAAGGAAATTTAATCTAGATTGGAATGCAAAATAAATTTCTTAACTTATCCTTGACATTTATTGCAACAATGACATATCATTTTTCCCTTTCTACTATTTTGTGTCAATTAATTATTTCAGGGACACAATGTTCATTTTTAAGATTTATATATATATATATATACACACACATATATATGTATTAGGTTATATTGCAATTCCAGTATCCTTGAGGTTTTAAACAAATCAGGGCATGAAAAACCATGATATATTTGAAGAGGTCATAAAACCAGGAAATTTGTTTCTGTTTGCCATGTTTGGAAGGATCTGAAAATTTAAGTCAGAGGGACTGTGGAGTAGAGGTGGTGGAGGCTGATAAGAACGGGAGTTGAGGCCGGGCACGGTGGCTCACGCCTGTAATTCCAGCACTTTGTGGGGGCCGAGGCTGGCAGATCACAAGGTCAGGACATGGTGACCATCCTGGTGAACACAGTGAAACCCCGTCTCTACCAAAAATACAAAAATTAGCCAGGTGTGGTGGCGTGTGCCTGCAGTCCCAGCTACTCCGGAGGCTGAAGCAGGAGAATCACTTGAACCAGGGAGTCGTAGGTTGCAGTGAGCCGAGATCACACCACTGCACTCCAGCCTGGAGACTGAGCGAGACTCTGTCTCAAGAAAACAAAAACAGAATGGGGGCTTGAATCTGTCCAAGTATTTTTGTCTCTCTGACGGGTCTTGCACATTTTTTAAATGTAAAAACTTGAGTTCATTATGTCCTAGCAGAAGGAGAAAAATTCAGGAGCATCACAGTGACTTCAATAGATGAATTAAATATGGACCAAAAAAATCAATGGGTCAAACTTATATTTAGTGTGATTCTAATCAATAAAGTAGAAATTCTTCAATGTACTCACCACCTAGTAGCATTTCCTGAAGCAGATTGTCAATTTTGACCATCCCAAAAAGTTTAACGAACTGTATTTGCTCAATCATTTGCCAAGTGATGCTCTGCAGCGTGGGCAGGAGCAGAAGCAACTCTCCAAACCTTCCCCGGGAGTCATACTGCCGATCATTAATGTAGTCCTCCAAACCGATCTGCACTTGGAACCTCATGTTCTTAATTTTTACTGGATCACTTAGCCCTTTTGCATCTAACCAAGGAATAAGAAAGGCAGCAGATTTAACGTAATTAGAGTGTGAAGACAATAAATATTCTAATCTTGAAAAGTAGTTTAATTTTTATTATATCAATTCTCTAGTGGAATTTTGAAAACCAACCTGGATCAAAAAATACAATTGCCTTTAAACAAGCATACTCATTGTCATCAATCTGGATTTCTTGAAATGGTCTAACCAGCTCATCTAGAACACGATTGGCCACACGGCTAATCTCAACTTCACAGCTGTTGCGGTGAATAACATAGTTGTTTCCTATGGAAGAGAAAACAACAGCAACAAAATAACCACCTGTCTCCTAAAATTGTCAGCATTGTTTAAAATTTAACAAACCTGTGTTTAAAATAGTCTACCCTTGAAGGAATAGTGATGTACTTTCTCTCTCAGTGGTGTTGTTAGTTATGCTGGAAAAACTCAAGCATGCTTAAAGGACGAATAACATTGATAATGTGATCACATGCATTTTAATGGTATCAGTCACTTGTGATAACACGAAAGTGCAGACTAATAACATGCTAATAATTGACAAGAGAAAATCTAAATATAATGATTAGTTTTTCTCTGTATCACTCATCTATTAGAGTTTTATTCACTAATGACTACAATACAAACCCTAAAGAATCTTTCTTGTTTACAGTGGATTAAAAACAGCACTTTGATACTCTAGGCATTCTAGGCATACACTATTGAGACAGTTTTAACACGCCTAAGTAAAGGAAGCTGATTTTTTTTTTAAATTAGCATGTGAATTCTCATGAGTTGCCTCTGATAGTATATTTTCTCTTCCTGGACTTCTTTAAATAGAGGGGGATAACCACTTTATAAGGCTAACTTTAAGGGAGTTCAAAACTTGGGTGGCAAGCTAGACCACCTGTTCCCTAAAGATCTTGCTAACTCAGAAATTCTCTGGCTATAATATAATGGACATTTTTATAGCCTTCAAAAATAACAACTAAATTGTTATTTTCTGGTTTTATAAAAAGACAAATATTCTAAATTCTTTCACTGCAGGCAAAGACAATCCTCAGGGTAACAGCATATTCAACGGTACCCTCGCTCTTTCTTTTTTCTCCAGCTTTATGGAGGTATGACCGTCAAACAGAATTGTATATATTTAAGGTGTACAACGTGATTTTTTGTTTGTTTGTTTTTAGACAGAGTCTCTCTCTATCACCCAGGCTGGAGTGCAGTGGCACGATCTCAGCTTGCTGCAACCTCTACCTCTCAGGTTCAAATGGTTCTCATGCCTCAGCCTCCAGAGTAGCTGGGATCACAGGCGCCCGCCACCATGTCCGGTTAATTTTTTGTATTTTTAGTAGAGACAAGGTTTCACCATGTTGGCCACACAGGTCTCGAACTCCTGACATCAAGTGATCCTCCTGCCTCTGTCTGGGATTACATGCATGAGCCACCATGCCTGGCCCAATGTAATGCTTTAATGTGTATCTACATTGTGAAATAATTACCATGGTAAAACTAATTAACATATATTTCAGTTCACATAGTTAATATCTTTTTTTGAGCTTCACTCTTTCTTTATGAAATGTTAGCTTACCTAATTATTCTGGGTAAACTAATTTAGAACTAGAATTTATACAGTAGACATTTTGTTTTCTAGGTCTATTGCATTTAGGTCTATAACGAGAACAGTATTCTAGGTGTTTACTAGAAATGCAAGGGAGGTATTTAATAACATTTCAGGGCATAGTCTCCACAATCACATTATGTGGTTTAGAATCCTGGCTATATTCTTTACTAGTTTTGTGACCTTTGGTAAACTTTCTCTGCCTCCATTTCTTCACCTGCAAAATGGGCTGTAAATAATAGTACTAATCCCTTAGGGCTCTTTCAAGGATTAAATGAGAGAATATATATATACATGTAATGTACTTAGACCAGTGTATTTACATAGTAAACCCGCAATAATATTAGATATTGTTCTATTGTCTTCAATTTATTTATATTTGGGGCTAAAACATCTAGCACAAAAATAAAATAATCTAGTCATATTTTCACACATGCCAGAGAGAGGTAGAGCTAGTATGTGTCAGAAGGATCTCAACCCTCAAAACCTAATTGTATACATTAAGTAAAGTAGCAGGATTGGAGCAATTAATGAAGACAAACGTTTTTTCTTTATGTCTTCTCTACTCCACCACCCCACACCTATTATCCTTCTTTCACCTCTTCTAGCATTCCTGTCTATCAAAATAGTCATTACCACCAGTACTTTTTTACTTGATCATTTTGTAGCATATCATGGGCTATCATGGGCAATAAGGTCATAGGTTGTAAACATTTTTTTTAAAAGCGTATAAAATAAAAAGCAGACTCTGAGGAAATATGAAAACACATTGAGACTCCATAAGGTAGCCATATAAGTCATTAATTATTCATTCTGATATAATCTGAACATACCTCAATATAATGTTTATTGAACAACATCTCTTTTTTATTTTTAAATCTTAATACTCCCTAATCATCTCATGGACTCTGAACTTACATACAGTCAAGGCAAGGAAAAATAAGGCCAAGTGAGGACACAATTAAATCCAACCTGTGAAGTGGCAGCACCATTTGACAGTGTCTGCAAATACTTGGTACATACAGAACAGACCCTGTATATTATTGCAAGAATAAAATATGCATAATTTATTCTTATATTAAAAAAAAACTTACCCAAAAGCAAAATATCTTTATACATCATGGATCTCTTTGTAGCTCCAAGGAGTAAGTGCTCCCCTGCGTGAGCTCTCAACAGTGCCACCTGAATGAAAAATTCTAAGTTTAACAATTAATTATAATATATAATGATTAAAAGATGACATGAGTCTTGTTAACTTACAGTGTTCTTTAAGCCTGGGACTTTTGTTGTTGTTTTAAAAAACTATAGCATTCATAGATACATGCCATCAGTAAACTTTCAGTTTTCTAGGTAGCATGTCAATAGAATCAACTTTTCAAAAATTTTAAAACTATCTAGCAAGTCAATACAATAGCAGCAGAAAAAAAAAAGCAGAAAGGTACTGTTTGGAAGGGAAACAGAATCAAACAGACCAGAGTTCAAATCCCAGCATGGCCACTTACTACCTCTTTAACCTTGTGTAAGTTAACCTGTGTGTTTGGAACTTACTCATTTGTTTTCATCTATAAAATGGGAGTAGAGATAAAAAAAAAAGCTCAGCATGTACTCATGAGTACTAAATGATAAAACATATATAAAACTTAATCTCCTGCATGTAATAAACTAAATAAACAAAAGCAAAGCAAAGACTTGTTGTAAGGAAAAGATGGGAGGTCTGGGTTCTGCCACTTTCTAGATTGAACCCCTAACTCTTTGCAGTAAGCTCTCAACTAAGCTTCATTCGTACACTAGATTACCTGCTGGGTATCACCACTAGGAAGTATAGGAAGCATTACAAATTTAATACCTACCAACATAACACTTCTCCAGTATCTTCATCTAGTAAATGTCGCCATAATCCAAAGTGCTTGTTCACATCAAAACAAGAGACTATTTTGAGCCCTCTCTAACTCTACAGTAAATTCTAGTGCTGCTTCTCAAAATACAAGCCAAAGTGATCCACTTCTTTTCATCTCCATTGCTACCACCCCAGTCCAGGCTGAAAACTCTTTTAATGATTTCTTTTTGTCCCTAGACTAAAATCCAAACTCCTCAATCATGGCCTCGCAGGTGATGGGAAGAGTGACAGTGGGTCAGTGCTTTGCCTCCCAGCCCTCATGTCTGACTTCATCTTGCAGCACCCCTTGTTCACATTGCTCCCGCCTGACTCAGAACCTTGGACATGCTGTTCCTGTATCTGGAATGCTTTCTTCTCAGATTCTCCTGCGCTTGGCCCCTTGTCTTTCAGGGTCTCAGGTAATAACTTCTCTGGTCCTCAGTTTAAAGTCTCTCTTCTCATTTTATCCCCATTCTCCAACAACTCATTTTATTCCATTTTATAGCATTTTATAGAGTTTATCTCCACTTGGAATGAACTTTCTCATAAATTTTGAATTTTTAAGTTATCCACCTCTCTCAGAGTGTACATTTATGAGAATAGTGAAGAAATCTGTATTTTTACTGCTAAATACCCACAGTTCCTAAAACTGAACAGTAATCTAATAAATATTCATTTGATGAATTTATTGAATGAATTTTACTGATCTAGGATTCAGTTTTAGAAACTGTAAAATGAAGATGATAACACCTGTCACTGAGCTCCTGAGATAATTAAATGAAATTATGTAATTTATAGTGCAACTGAAAGCTAATTTCCCAGTGCCTTATTCATAACAGACATTTACAAATTTGTGGCTAATTAATAAATGTTATACTGTTATTATTAAAGAATCAGTTGGCAAATTAAAACTGTTTCTCACTGGTTACTGGATTTTAATTTCCCAATTTTTAAATCATTGTATATATAAGTCAGCAATTTCTAAAGAAGAATGATAATAAAAATATAAAACTGATACATAACGTAACCCTACTTATATTGCTTGGGGTGAGACTGGTAGGTTTTAGCAATTTAGCATTATTCACTCTGGCATAACCTTCTGAGCCATGCTATCTTTATGATATGTCAATATTCGTGACTCATACCAGGAAGGCAGTTACAGAGCCTTTTAAGAATTACTTCAGATTTCACTGTATTTTTTTTCCTGTCACCAGGTGAAATGCTCTCTTAAAAATAAATATACACTAGTACGACACTTATCATTGTTAATTTAATGTGACAGAAAGGGAATTTTTCAAATTATTTTCATCTACAAATATTATACCCTACTTAGTAAGAACAGTTCAAAATGAATCTGAAACCAAAATACTTATCTTTATAATGCAATCAGGAAATTCAAGTTTCTAAGCACTTATTAAAATATTATAATGGATATATGACAAAATCTGAAAATAAGTATTAGTAAAAGATCATTCTATATTTCCTTCTGTAATTTTATTTCTCTATAAATTTCTGATCATGCTTCTACAGACATTTTTTCTTTTTGCCAGACATACAACTTTTATACAATAAATTCTAGAATAAAACTGACAACATGAAAGTTAAAACTTTATGTTAATTGCATGAAGTACCCACCAAGACAACATCATAACCTTTGTGGTTTCTGTCTAGGAGTGACCTGGTATTTCTGAGGAGGTTTATATAGCACCTTCAGTAAACGCCAATACACAACATCCACCATTTGCTTCACAGACATTCACTCTTCTAATACTTTGTCTCACAATGACAGTTACATGCTATCTGCCTTTCTCCCTCACATAAGCCTTTTAAAATTCCAAAAGGGCAGAGGAGTGTTTTGTTCAGTTCTCGTCCAATCAATACATTTGCTACACCCCTAAAATAGAAGTCAAACAGTTGTGCCTCTTGATAGAACAAGGTGAAGGGGTAAGAAAACCCAATCCTTTCTCATAATTTATCTTTTGTCAAATATAGTAATATAGCATGTGCATTACCAATAAAATGGAAAGAACATAAACTTAGCAAAGTTCAAGAAGCATTTTTAAAGCACTTATACATTTTTAAATGTATACCTGATCATCCAATGGTAATTCACAGAAGGCAGGAATATATTTAGCCCATTCCACCAAGACTAGGAGCTGCTGTTTCATAGATTCACAGACATCACCAATACTTGCAATTTTCTTAACATTTATGTCAGTGCTTGACCCAGGGCTTGAGACTGAGATCTAGCATTAAGAAAAACATGATATTATCATTTAAAATCATAGATGGCCAACATTCCCCTTTTGTCTTTTGACTGTGACAAGTAAAGACCATAGAAGTATGCACTATTGTTGTTACAGTATCTTGACAAATACTAAACGTTTTAAATTGAAAAACAAAATACTGATTTAAATTGAAAAATAAAATACCTATCAGTTTATAAGTTAATTTAAAACCATTTCATTTATATAGCACCATCCTCTGGGAGCAATATCTTATGTTAGTGATCAAATCTGTACACTAAGTTTTACCCCGACTTTTGAGGAATTTTACAATCAAAATGGCTATATAAATAGATAGATACTATCCAAATGTAATATGCTCTTTGATTTTATTTTGAATTAAAGGTGATATTTTCTTTAATCTGTGGAAGTTTATGAAGAAAATGTTTTCATAAAGATTACCCAGTTGGGGAGACAAGAAGCAAGAACTGTTTGTCTCGCTGCACTAAAAGGAAGCCCATCAAAATTAAATTAAGAAACCAATGTGTGACTCAGAAATGCCGAAGAGCTTAACATATAATAATACATTTGTAAGATTATGTGTAATTTTAGACTATATAAAAATATAAGCTAAATAAAGCTTTTCTGCTGAAAGAAAAAAGTCTAAAAGTTTTTATAAACTTATTTTTGAACATGCGTGTGAGTGTATCTTTATCTGTATTTGAATATTTTCTCATAGCTCCCCTTTAAGTCATTCTCTAAAAGCTTTATTGCACATCAAGCAATATTCAAGTAATAATGATAACGGTGATGTTAACCTCATCATATTACCCTTGTGTTATCAAAAATGAAAGTAGTTGCACTGACTCATTACAGGACCTGATTAACTACTTGGCAATTTTATAATCTGCTTTATAATAGAAAAAAAATATTAACATTTCTAATAAGGTCAATGCTAAAATAAATTTGATTTAAGGATTTCTTTATACGACACTAAATAATTTATTTTTATGTATATAACTAATGACTTGTTTTTTTAACTGTAGAACTGTTATTGGATAAATTTAAAATAATAAAGTTTTCTTTCTTCTGTGTTTTCTGAATTCTGACTCTTCATTTAAATGTCTGTTTCCAAAGCAGGTCCCAATAATCCAGAAGTCATTTCCAATGAAAGAAGCTCCGATAACAAATCTCAACCAAACTCCCCAAAAGTCGTGGTCGCGGGTTGTACAGATTCAATCAATAAAATAAAATACTGCCTACAGAGCTTTGCGCTAATCATTATTTCGAATCAACCTTATAAGCAAGCTTTTTCTAAAACAATCTTAGACTGAAATTTATTTTATTTTTCCATTTAAAACTAATCTTGTTCAAGAATAGTCAAAATTAAGTCAGCAGTCCCACTCAAACTTTCAAAGTAAAACTCTTAAATGTATGTAGATGTAACTTATTTTAGTAATGAGCACGTTTGAATAAACTTATATTATTTTAGCATGATGTCTACATGGACATTCGATTTTATTAATTAGGGTTTGATGCTGACGTGCCACAGGTACCTGGCGAGACCGAACTTCAGCTTGTGCCAGTGTGTTAATGGAGGGGATGTTGCTGCCATCAAATGTACTTCTTCTGGTGCTTATTCTATCGCGTTCATTTTGTACAGCTAGAGGGAAAAAACAGTATTTATTGAGCACTTCTCTTTAGTGTATGTTAGGATATAGAGTTTGAGGAGTTTTTTTTAAGTGAAAAAATTGAGAAAGGGTCTTTCCAAAAGACAGTGGGAGAAAGGTATTTTCATTCTGTACTACTCTCAAAAACAGGAATCATCAGGCTTGTCACTAGAGCTCATAAAACATTGCTGTTTGAGACGTCATGACAGCATGCATGTTAGAAAGTGTTGGCTCAGCCAGTTCTGCCATGCTGTATTTTTAATAGCGTGGTTTTCTATTCTCTCAAAGTTAATAAAACTGTAAGATAACTAGAAGAAGAGCATTGCCTATAAGATTGACCAGGTCAAAGATAAGAGTGTATTCACTATCAGAAAATATGAGTCATAGATTTTGAAACTTCCGTTTTCTTTTCTCTATAAAACACTAGCAAAAATGGAAAGTAAACTTATTTTAGTTACAATGACTTTAGGATTACAATATTATGATCTCTTATAAAACACTGTCCATGGGACAGTTTACCAACATTAATAAAGCAGAAATTGTACCATGGAGCAGTCTCTCCTGAGAAAATTGAGGTTTGAATACCAGCATTTTGGAAAGATGAAGAAATCCTACATATTATACGGGTTTCTAAGAGAGAGCTAGATCTGCTTCTTTACTTCAGAAAAATAATAATAATAATAATAATAATAATAATAATAATAATAATGTAGTTCCCCAAATCCCTTACTGAAAACTGCATTTTTAAATATAAGGAAGACTGACAGGGAAAATATTAACTCACATGTTTACCATACAGAGAATACAATCATGCCAAGTGTGGCTCAAGCCTGTAATCCCAGCACTTTGGGAGGCCGAGGTGGGCGGATCACAAGGTCAGGAAATCGAGACCATCCTGGCTAACATGGTGAAACTCCGTCTCTACTAAAAATACAAAAAATTAGCCGGGCGAGGTGGCAGGCGCCTGTAGTCCCAGCTACTCAGGAGGCTGAGGCAGGAGAATGGCGTAGTCCCAGCTACTCAGGCGGCTGAGGCAGCAGAATGGCGTAAACCCGGGAGGCGGAGCCGAGATCGCGCCACTGCACTCCAGCTTGGGAGACGGAGCGAGACTCTGTCTCCAAAAAAAAAAGGAGTGAGTTGTCTGTAAGTTGGAGTGAATCAGTAATATTTTATTTTAAAATCATACTGGTAGCTTGCTCTTTTTGATTTACAGAAATTGTTATTGATTTTTAACCTAAACTGACTCATTTGGAAATGCATATGCAGTGATAAAATATTAAGAAGTTAGCTATGCTTTTATGAATTCCACTTACGTGATTATTCTTTAGAAAAATGCTAAAAGATATCGTAAACATTTATAATCTTCTCACTGCTATCATTTTTGACATAAAACTATGTTTTTATTTGTTTCCACCTAATTAATCTCGCTACTATGCTGTTAGTGTAAAAAACGCAAATACATCAACTTGAAATCTCAAAATTACTTTACAACCTATTTAAGAAAATTAACACATTATTTTATGAACAGAAGATAAAATTTACCTATTTTAAATCATAATTGTATTTCACAAATTGTAAAACTCATAAAGGAAATGTAGGATTGTTATTTGCTTACACTTTTGTGGGGATAAACATGGGGTTCAAGTAGAAATGGAGGGAGGCAATAGACCAAGTATGTAATTAATCCCGTAAACTGCCAAATAGAGCTTCCTATGAAATTAGAAATAAATCACTTCTTAAATGAGAAAGTGCTTCTCCTTTAATTTTGTGAACTTTGTTTTTTGTTGTCTTGAAGATTACCAACCTGAGCAAAACTAATGGTATTCCTGTATTCTTAAAATATTGAATGACAAAGAAAAAGCTAACTATGTTAAAGATGGGTTTGATGTATTTTACACTTCTTTAGTATAGTGATTTCATTTGATTTTTTTAGTTTGTGAAATAGTTGTGAAAAACATCTCTTTGCATATGATAGGCATGACCAAACAGTAAAACTGACAAGTATAGAATTTTGTAGCTGTTACACGCTGTCAAATGTTTACAAAGTGTTCAATACATTTGTTTCTAAATTAACCGTATTTAGAATATAGGAGAATATAATCAGAATACTTAATATATGCAAGACGAAATTAGTACACACTAAAATAGCACATCTAATCTATTGTTTCGGTCCCTCAATATAATATAAGCTTCCTGAAAGGGAAGATTATTTTGTCTACTATGTTCACTGTTGAAGCTTCAGCACCTAGAACAGTGTTTGGAAAATTGCAGTGTTCAATAATATTTAATAAATAAATGAATGCATGAAAAGTAGATGTTCAGTTAATGTTCATTAAAAGAAAAAAGACACTCATTTGTTATTGAGAACAAAAGAAAAATACATTTGCGTCAGGCGTGGTGACTCAAGTCTGTAATCACAGCACTTTCGGAGGCTGAACGGAGTGGATTACTTGAGGTCAGGAGTTCAAGACCAGCCTGACCAACATGGTGAAACTCTGGTTCTACTAAAAATACAAAAATTAGCCAGGCATGGTGATGCGCACCTGTAGTCCCAGCTACTAGGGAGTCTGAGGCAGAAGTATCACTTGAACCTGGTGGGTTACAGTGAGCCAGGATCGTGACACTGTGCTCCAGCCTGGTTGACAGAGTGAGACTCCATCTCAAAAAAAAAAAAGAAATCTGTAATTTCAATCCACTAACAGAATATTGGTATACTATTTAGTCAATAATTTTGTTGCCTTGGACAATATAGCGGTGGAGAGAATGATATCCATAATCAGATAGTCACCAGATAAATACTGGCTATACCACTTAATAGCTGTATGTCCTTAGACTAAATTCTTTATCTTGAGGAACCATAGATTCCTCCTTATTAGAGTGAGGAAAATTAGAACTCATGTAAAAAGGTTATAGTGATCAATGAGAATATGTTTGTATGTTTATCACTTTTCATCAATAATGTTAATTATCATCACCATTATTATTACCTTCTTTTTTCATTCCCGCTCTAAAACACTTTCTTAATCGACAATATCTACATTGATTCCTTTTGTCCTTGTCAACAACACATTGCCGACTGAACCTATAACATCAAAGATATATTAGTTTACAGAAAACTATAATTTCAAAAAAAAAAAAGCAAATAAACAGACAAATGGATTTTAAATATGTGTTGTCACATTTGATTCGCTAAAAAGAAGGTATAGGAACAATCAAATATGACCTTTCCAGCCTCACAATCAGCATGTGCGTGAAAACACGAGCCTCACCTCTCACTTAGTCTTTATAGTAAAATAAAACTGAATGACTATCTTCATTTTGGCTGCTGTGCGTAACCACTTCTATCATGAGTCATGAAAGCCAAACCTAGTTTTGAATATCTTTGGCATTCAAGTTTTTGTTGCTTATTGCTAAATGATTTCAGTATGAAGGAGGCTATTATCAGAACTTCATGGCCCTGCATTTTCATGCTTTTCTCTTTTTAAATATCCTTCTATTAATTTTAAGTGTACCCCGCACCCCACTGAAGTTTACCCTACATGGCAAATTATACATCAAGAGGTAATTGAGGACAACATTGAGAGTATAGTCGGCATCATGGGTTAAGAATTCACACACATTATAATGGCTGCAAATGAAATAAAGAAAAAACAAGTGTTGGTGAGAATGTGGAAAAATTGGAACCCTCATACACCGCTGTTTAAAATGTTAAATGACGCAGCTGCTTTGGAAGAAAGTTTAGCATTGTTTTAAAAAGCTAAACATAGAGTTATAGTGTAACCCAGCAATGCCATGTTAGGTCTGTATGCAGAGAAATGAAACATATGTACACATAAAAACTTGCTCATAAATGTCCACAGCAGCATTATTCATCGCCCAGAAGTGAAGAATATACAAGAGCCTATGATAATAGAAAAACAAAATGTGGCATGCCTGCACAGTGGAATATTGTTATTTGTCAGTAAATAGGAATGAAGTACAGATAAATGCTACAACACGGATAAACCTTGGCAGCCTATTCTATTCTAAACAAAAGAAGTAAGACAAAAGAGATCACACATCGTATGATTTTGTTTATACAAAATGTCCTGAAAAGGCAAATTTGTAGAAATAGAAAATAGATTCATAATTACCTCATATTGTTGGGGAGGGAGTTGGGAGGACATGGGGGAGTAACTACTAAAGGTTTCATTATAAAGTGATAAAAATGGTCAAATTTGACTGTAGCGATCGTTGCATCACTCTGGATAAACTAAAAAACTGATTTGTGTACTTAACCAAACAAACAAACAAATAAAAAGAGTACAGTCTCTGAAATTAAATCTAAGCTTGGTTCCACCGTTGATTCTCAGCAGAACTTGGGGGTGTTAAGTAACTTTAGTTTACAAGCGTAAAATAAAGAGAAGGACTTGCCCAAAAGGCTGTTGTGTGAAAGCACCTCAAATAGTTAGAGGCAAATATTAAGCATACAGTAAACACAAACATTTCTTCAAACTTCTGGCACAAAATTATCCATACATCTGGATATGTACCTGTTTATTTGTAGTTGATGATAAACGATAAGAATAAAGATACACATTTTGTGAAATGTGTTTCTTCTAAAAACTATCAGTGTCCACTTAAAATCGAACGAGAAGCGAAGCCTATAATCAAATTGAGCTAGAAGAGAAATGTGCTTTCAGAGTGAGGAACAAGGCATTGCTCATTTGGGAACAAATGGCTGATGAGACTCAGGAGAGAGGACCAGATTGACAAAAATACAAGGAGAATGCATTCAATTAACATTAAATTAATAATAAAAATTGAATAAACATATTATTAAGCACCTACAACATACAAGATCCTGGTGTAAGGATTAAACAGATTAATATGCTACTTGTCTCCTCCACTCAAGGAAATTACAATCTAACAGCATATGCATACAAATTGTACATAAGGTGAAAAACATAACATGAAAAGTGTCGAAACAGCAATTAAAAGTGCTTTTGAAGCAAAGCCCAACCTCGGTGTGATGAAGCAGTTAGAGTAGAAATGGAATTTTGGCATCTAAGGAAATAGATACATTTGAGACCAGCACAACCTGAGCTTCAGAAAGTCTCCATGCCCCTAAACTTGCATCAAGTTTTTTCCAAACGAAAATCATCACATTTGCTGAATACTAACATATGTAAAGACAGCTAGGTTGGCAGTAACATTCCTAATAGGAAGGTGCAGGAGTTAAACTGTATCTGTTGTTAGAATATTTTTTAAACCTCTTAAAGCTGCTCTGAGAGCATCCCTTTTCCACTCTTCTCATAGAGAAAGCACAGAAGTACTGATAGCCTTTGTGATTCTCTGATTCTCAAAAGTTGTTGGATTTAGTTGTTTGGATCACCATTACACACACACACACACACACACACACACACAGGTATTTCAATTTTAACAGAGCACATGACTCCAGAAGGTATGGTTTACAGGTTATTCTGTATTTGTTTTAGTTTAGAAGCATTCGTACAAAAATATTTTTGATGAAGGAAATTGATCTACCTTTTACCTTTAGAGTTTTAATGTAAATAAAAGCAAAACTCATCTAAATACACTTTTTTTGTTTACCTAGAAAGTTTTATTTTTTATTTTTTTATTATTTTTTTTATTATACTTTATGTTCTAGGGTACATGTGCACAATGTGCAGGTGTGTTACATATGTATACATGTGCCATGTTGGTGTGCTGCACATATTTATTCGTCGTTTACATTAGGTATATCTCCTAATGCTATCCCTTCCCCCTCCCCCCACCCCACAACAGGCCCCAGTGTGTGATGTTCCCCTTCCTGTGTCCAAGTGATCTCATTGTTCAATTCCCACCTATGAGTGAGAACACGCCATGTTTGGTTTTCTGTTCTTGCGATAGTTTGCTGAGAATGATGGTTTCCAGTTGCATCCATGTCCCTACAAAGGACATGAACTCATCCTTTTTTATGGTTGCATAGTATTCCATGGTGTATATGACCTATAAAGTTTTTAAAGTGGGCAATTTGTATTTTCTTAACCTGCTTCAACCTATCTTGGAAAAATTAAAGAATTATCAGAGAACTAGATAGATATTTGGGGAGTTATATATTAACTTGTATTGCACCCTAGGAAATCACATGGCAAGACTTTGAGAGGGTTAACCTCTTCCCAAATGTCTGATCTGTTCTTAAAAGGACATAATTCTACACGTAACTTTTATTGACAGAACAAACATAGTTTTTTTGTTGTTGTTAAATTTAACCATTTTTGTTAATAGCCTATATTCAATCTAAATGTAATCTGCATTCAAGCACAGTCATACATATGAATCAAGATGCAATATGTATACTTAAATCATGTTATGATGTTGACTAGGTGTTCATCTAAAAATAAAGGAAAAAAAAAAAAAAACAAGAAAACAGCCTACTGGAAATGCGTGACAAATATAATATAATTAAATAAGCTTCTGACAAAACATTTAAATTTAATGACAAAAAATATGGCATGAGAAATACATTTTAAATTTTAGGACTGAAAATGAAATTTCACTCATTGATATCAACAAACTACCAAAATCATCTGCACTTTTATAATTTTGTTTTTAGACCTAGGATGTAATGGCACTTAAAAAATCAACATGAAGAAAAATGCTCATATTGAAAAATCTTTTAAATGAAGATTTTAAAATGTTTAGAGGTATATGAACATGTGATAAAACAATAAAGAAACACAAGGAAAAGATAACATGAAATTGCAATAGTAGTTACCTCTAGGAGACAAAGGAGTAAAAGTGCTAGAGGAGGTGTCCATTAAAGGCTTCAACTATATTGGTCTAAGCTGGGTGGTAGGTAGGTGGATTTTTTATATACCTTCTATAAGTCTAAAATGTTTCATAAAAAAGAACCACCTATGTGAATACATCCTGTATACATACTCACACGTTCTGACTTGTACTGCAGTTTAGAGATTGTACTTACAGACTTACAGATACACGAAAACTCTGAATTTTCTTCTCTTACTTTTTCCGTGACAAACTGAAACACCTGTAAAGATAACTTGACTAAAAGGGCATTTAAAGTACCTGCAAGAATAAACGTGACTCTTACGAATGCTGCGTCTGAAGAAACCCTTGCACCCATCACAACTCGATGCCCCATAGTGTTTTCCTGTTGCTCTGTCCCCACAGATGGCACACAGACAGTTGACACCGTTGTCTGTGGTATTCATACTTGTCTCTGGGGCAGAATTATCTGTGAATAAAAAAAAGCAAGATTAGAGTTACAGTTAGTACTATTTCCTGATTAAATTGTCCTGCTAATTATTTAGAGGCTCAAACAGTCCGTTCGTTGGCTTCCTGGAGACCCCACACCGGTGCTTTCCTTTTAACCCCCCCGGCTGGCGACTTCCGCTCCAACCCCTCCTTTCTTATTTCTGAACATTTAACTTTGGGACACCATAGGGCTTAGGTCTCCAACTCCGCTCTTTCCCAAGGGAGGTTTATCTGTTCCATGACAATAAATATTAGCTGTAGGATGAATAATTCCAATATTTTATCTCTCTAGCCCCGATGTCTCCCATGGGCATCAGCCTGAAATGCCCAAGCACCTGTTGAAGAACTTCATTATGAAATCTAATCAGAATTGTAAATCGAAGTATCAAAAACAAAACTCATTTTTCCGCTAGAACTTGTTCTTCTTTCCTTCAGTCTCCCCTACATCAGTCAATGGTTCCATCCAGTTTCCCAGGGCCAATAATCTGTGAGTCTTTAATGTATTCTCTCCTTTATCTTTTATAACCAATCCCTTGGTAAGTCCATGTTTATAATACTTTTATTTATTTATTTATTTATTTATTTATTTATTTATTTATTTATTTAATTTTTTGAGACTGAGTCTCCCCTGTTGCTCAGGTTGGAGTATAGTGGGGCGATCTTGGCTCACTGCAACCTCTGTCTCCCAGGTTCAAATGATTCCCACGCCTCAGCCTCCCAAGTAGCTGAGATTACAGGCGTGTGCCACCATGCCAGGACAATTTTAGTAGAGACGGGGTTTCATCATATTGGCCAGGCTGTTCTTGAACCCCTGCCCTCAGGTGATCTGCCCACCTCAACCTCCCAAAGTTCTGGGATTACAGGTGTGAGCCACCGCGCCCAGCCTGAAATACATATTTAATCCATAACTTTTCACCACGGACATCCTTATTCAATCAACCATCATCTTTCCTCTAGATTATGGCAACAGCCCGCTATCTAAATTCTTTCCTTCCGTTCTTGCTGCCCTACTATTTGTTACCCCAAAGCCACCTAAGTGATATTGCTTTAAGTAATTCATTAATTTAAGTAATATAATGTCACCCTCTGCATCCAACCCTGTTGTAACTAGATAGAGAATAAAGTCTAGGCATCTTCCTACAGCCTGTAAACCCTGCATGTCAAACCCGCCTACAACTCCCCCAAATCTCTGATCCCAGTATCTGGTACCACTTTTCATCCAGTTCACTATTCTCCAGCAATATCTTCTTTTTTTTTTTTTTTTTTTTTTCCCCCGTCATTGAAGGCTACTCTCATCTCAGAACTTGTTCACCTGCTCTTCCTTCTGTCTGGAAGGAAAGTTCTTCCCTTTCTTTGAGCTAGCTACAAGGTTTCTGTTAAAGTCTCACATTTTGTGTGAAACCTTCTCTGGACACACATTTTAAAATGTCACCTCCCATCTGTCCTTCAAGTAGAACCTAGACCCCTGCTTATTTTAAGTATTATTATTATTTTTTGAGTCAGGGTCTTGCTTGTCAGCCAGACTGGAGGTCAGTGGTGTAATCCTAGCTCACTGCAACCTGGACCTCCTGAGCTCAAGCAATCTTCCCACCTCAGCCTCCTGAGTAGTTGGGGCTACAGGAGTACACCACCACATCCAGCTAGTTTTTAGTCTTTTTTATTGTAGAGATAAGGTCTCACTATGTTGTCCAGGTTGGTCTTAAACTCTTGGGCTCAAGTGATCCTCCTGCCTCAGCCTCCCAAAGTGCTGGGACTACAGGTATAAGCCACCACACCTGGCCTTAGTTTTTTTAAATGGCCTTAGTTTTTTATATAACTTTATTGTTGAAAAGTATATTCTGCATTGGTCTGCTCATTTATTACCCATCTTTACACACAGAATGTAAGCCCCATGGTGGTAGAGAATTTATCTGTCTGATTTAGTCTTCTGTTTTCCAGTTTTTAGGATTATGCCCAGGATATAGTGGGTCATCTAATACACAATTCTGAAGGAAGAATTATTTTTAAAATGTAGATATTTATAATAAAATAAATATTTCTTAAATGAGTTAATATTGTGGATTACATCTTTAAAAATCAATATGCATTCAAAAGATATTAAATATGTAATATAGTAAAAGTTTATTGCAAAATTTTATATTGACAACTGATTATTGTATATCTAACAAAAGGATAAAACTAAAGGTTGTCATGTCCTGATTACATTTTGTAACTTACATATGTTCTACTTACTAATATTTCTGAGTAGACAAATATTGTCATATATAATTTCATGAAGTAGAAAAAAAATTTTAATGAGAATATGCTTAGGGTTAGTCATGTGACATTATAGGATTAAAATGCTAAACATTTTTCTTTTGGTAACATTAACAAAACAGATACTAATAAAATGAAAGTTAGAACTGTTTGGAATTGATTGTATTGTGAGAGACTATATAGAAATATGAAAAAATCCACTCTTGCTTCAAGTTTAGTGTCATACTTACATGTTGCTGACAATCTTATTACAAACAAGTTACACCACACTTTTGATATAGCCATACGAATTCGTTATTTCAGTATATTCGTTAAACATAGTAAATAAGTGTTATGATTATGGTAAATATGTCCCTGCCATTTCTTAATCATGAGTGTTTTTTTAAAGTCATGATTCTGATGAAATACTCTGTGAAATAGCTCTAATCAAGTCTAAACATAAGGACACGAAACAGTGACTTCCTGAAAGTTGTACTACAGGTTTATTTTAACTATATTTGAGCTAAATTTTCAGAATTCACCTTTTGACTATTTTTTTAAATCTCCATTAATAAGGAACTGCTTATTAAAAATAGAACCAGAACACCAGTCATGCAAATTATACAATACAACAGAATAGTAAGATATCCTCAGTACAAGATATATTCTCAATCTTGCATTAAACACACACACACACACACACATTTTCCAAAGTATACATAATTACTTGATCTTAGGAGTTCTAACAGTGATAACATATTTTAAACAAGATTTTTTACTAGGTATTAAGTCTAAATTCAAAGTCAATAGTAAACTGTATTACATAAAGACACAAACCCTAAACAACTCAGGTCTTATTTAAAGTTAAAATATTACAGTAATTAAATACCAACAGCTTTGTGCGGCTAAACATTAGCCTGTCAAGTGAGGTTATAATACAAGCCTTATTCCCTTTCATATTTGCATTCAATGCAAAAACCTGATAGTAATTTAAAATGCAGTTTCTCATCAGTACCAATTGAGAACTGGAATTATAATGAAAAGAGCAGACAATCAGTGAAACTCCCTAATGTTCTATGGAAACTTTGTTCCATAAGTCATTTTATATATTGCATAGAAAATATACTTTCACAGCCAATCTGCCAATATTACTTATTACTATGACTTACAGCAAATAAAATAACAGCTGAAACTAATCTTTTTACCTCTCTAACTGACTGATGACAGAATTCTGACATTACTTTGTTACATAAAACCGGGTTTTCTTACCTCTAACACAAAATAGCCACAGCATTAACTTAAATTTTGTAATGAAGTGCAAAAGCTCAGATTTGTGGCCTTAAAAGCAAGCCCTAAACTCTCCAGCAAAAAAAAAAAAAAAAAAAAATTGAGCCACTACTTTTGAAAGCTCAGTCTACCTTCTCCAATTATACTTACTTTTCTTTACATCTATAAATAGATGATAACTTACCGTTTGAATTATATAGAATCTGCATAGTTTCAAACTCCAAAGTTGTATAAGTTGGGTCCAGAACTTCACTGTAATTTGCCATGTCCATGTCCAGTATTGGTTCTGATACCCTCATCATTGATTTAGAAACGCATATACAAGTGGCACCGCAAGCCCAGAGTGTGTGATGAGTGTTTTGATGTGTTTTGCTTTCAGTCTGTGAGTGATAATCCGAAGTTAACTGTAACTGAGTGACTTAAGAGCTGCAGTGGGAGGGGCTGTAAAACTGTAACCTTCTTCGGCAGGCCATATTCTGCTTATTTCTTCTTTTATGGCATACGAAAGCAATTCCTTGTGATAATCTTGGAATGCTTCATGGTATAGCCTTATCTGAAGTGCTTAGTGGACTAACATGATTTCCTACATTGACTTCCAGCAGACAATAAATGAGATCATTACGAGAAGGATTAAAAATAGAAAAGAAAATCTCATAGGTTTTAAACTGTAATAATAATGTGAGGTATCCCATTTAAGGTGCTGAAATCACATACCTCTCATATTCTGAAAAATAGGACTGACTTTACTGTTGTAAATTTGGTAAATCAAGTCTGTAAGTTAACATTTCACAATAACACTTTACAATTTCAAGTTTTCTTAAATGTGCAATAAGGCTACCTTTATTTTGGAGTAAAGCAAATTTTGTAATTTGAAATGTGGGGAGTTATGACATACCCTGAGAGCTCCCTGGGCATAACTCTAAAATAGCCTTTAATTATATTCTCTTTTATTATCTATTTATGGGCCTGTGTCCCAACTATGTCAGTAAACTTCCCAAGGGCAGAACCAGTACAGCTGCTAGTACATGGGAGGCATTTAAAACATGGTTACATGTATAATGTTTCATTTGTTTTGAATTTTGATGTCATTAAACTGAAAAAAAAAATTATCCCTAACGTGTAGATCTATATATTCCTATCATCAACCCTCATTTATATAGCATAGTATATCTTCTGTGTGTATATTTGACAAGGAACTTCTAGGGTGTAGGGAATATTTAGACAATAGCACTCAATCAATATATTTTACTTCTGAGAATATGTTTATTGATTCTATTTTCCAAGAAATAATTCCAGTCCCATTTACATTATAAATTCAGAATGTCCTTTACCACATTTGTTAAAGATTGCAGCGAAGTAATATTTCTTAACCAATTTCTTAACACCATAAACCTTATGAATACTCTGTCTTAGAAACTATTGTACTTTTCACCTGGGAAGGCTGGCCTCTTAAAGACT